AAGAAAGAAAGAAAGAAAGAAAGAAAGAAAGAAAGAAAGAAAGAAAGAAAGAAAGAAAGAAAGAAAGAAAGAAAGAAAGAAAGAAAGAAAACAGCACTAGGTTTTAAAGCTAGAGAGTAATCTCCATTAACACCACATCTCACATCCTGGGCACAGTTGGGCAGGGGTAGGGCTCACAAGGATTCAGGCAGCCCCACTCCTATTTCTTTGCTAGGCTCAGTGCCAGCAGCTCGCACAGGCTGTAGTATCATACATGCAGATTTCCAAGGCTAGAGTTGCTTCTTGGTGTCCCTACAGTCCTAGAGTCTTAGGAGTGGCTCTGTTTGCATGGCTCCACTAGGCATTACTATCATGGGGGGGTCTCTGCTGTGGCTCAACCCCTGCTACATGTCTCTACCTGGGCACATGAGCTGTCCATGACATCTTTTGAAATCTAGATGGAGGCTGCTGTGGCCCTACAGCTGATGCATTCTGCATGTCTCCAGAGTCAGCATCATGTAAATGCCACCGAACTTTAAGGTACCAAGGTACGACAAATAATCTGCACATGGGCCCTCTCTTGCCAAGGCTGTCCTGGAGCAGGAGCGCTGTGCCAGAATTTAGGGAGCATGATCTCAAGTTGGCGCAGGAGAGCAAATATTGAGGTTCCATTGGCACCTCTCTGAAAACCTTGACCTCAAGGTTATAGCTAGCCTCAAAGATCTCTGAAATGTCTGCAGACACAACTCTGATATTTTGAAAACAAAGTTTCCTGTTGCCCAGCTTGGGATGAGCAAGTTGCACAGCAACACAGCAGCACAGTACACTGTCCTCCAAACTGCATGTCATGGAGGTTGTATGTGAGGAAAGTTAGCCTCTCTGTGAGATGCCAAATTTACTTAAAATTACAAGACACATTTTTCATCAAGCACTCTCCTGGATGCTTGGCCAGACCCCATATTCACAAAATAATTTCACCAGACAGATTTTGCAGGATCAAGGATTGGTGATGGGCTAGCACAAAGGCTGGCCAATGTGTAAATCCCCGTGGGCTAAAGTAACTTCCACAGTGACAATGGATGAGAGGATTTTAAGAGACAATTTTTTTTTTTTAAAGGCAATATGACTGTTTTTCTTTCTTTTTTTTCTAAAAACTTTAGGATATCTTTCAGGTCACTGAATGATTGGAGACATAAAAGAAAAGAGATTCAAGTGATCGAGTCTTTGCCAAATTAATTTGGAAAGTCGCTAAATAAAGGGATGACTGCAGACTACATCAAGTAACAATGGCAATTGCTAGAAAAGAAAATATTATTTCCATAGTTAATATATTATAATATATTAAATCCAGTTCTCAATAAAAAATTACACGGCACATAAATAAACAAGTAATATGTCCCATTAATAGCCAAAAAAAAAAAAAAGAGAAGAAAGTAGCCAAAAAAAAAAAAAAAAGAATTTGACAGAAACCATTCCTGAGGAAGCTCAGCATTAGACTTACTAAGTAAAACCCCAAGGCAAATGTAAATATTTTAAGACAGTTGGAAGAAACCATATACAAGAACTAAAGGAAATCAGAAGAACAATGTATGAAAAAGTTGGGAATACCAATGATAAGAAAGAAGTAATTAGTTAAAAAATTAGAAATTTTGGAGCAAAAAGACAATAGTTTAAAAAACAATTCACCAAAGTGATTTAACAGCAGGCTTGAGGAGGCAGAAGAAATAAATAGCAAACATAAAGGCAGGACAACAGAAATTACCCGATGTTGTGGTAGAAGAAAAACTGAACAAAGAAAAATGAGCAGAGCCTAGGAGCATATGAAATTCCATCTCATCTACCAATATACACACTATGGGAGCTCCTGAAAGAGTAGAGAGAAAAGGGGCAGAAAAATATCTGAAGAATTAAAGGCTGAAAACGTTTCAAATATGACGAAAGACATGAATCCACAAAACTAGGGAGCTCAATAAATTCCCAAAATGGTAAAACCAAAGAGATTCATAACAAGGCATGGTTTGATTAAAATGTCCAAAATCAAGGACAAAGAGAAAATGTTGAAAGCAGCAAGAAAGTGACTCCTAACATACAAAGGATCCTCAATAAGAGTAAGAATTGATTTTTCTTAAAAATCTGTGAAATCAAAAAATTGTTGAAATGAAATATTTAAAGTGCTAACAGAAAAAACTGTCAACCAAGAATTCTGTATCTGGCAAACCTATCCTTTACATAATAAAGAAGAAATTAAGTCATTCTAATATAAAACTAAAAGTAAGAAAATTCCTCCCTAGTAGATCTTCCCTACAAGAAATACTAAAGAAACTCAGCTTTCTTGCTGAAAAAAAAATGACACAAGAAAATAAATAAAAACGGGCCAGCCCGGTGGTGCACTGCTACAGTGCGCCGCTTGGGAGCGCAGTGGTGCTCCCGCCGAGGGTTCGGATCCCACATACAGACCGGTTCCCGCTCACTGGCTGAGCGAGGTGCGGGCGCAACACTGAGGGTTGCAATCCCATTGCTGGTCCCGGTCCAGTACGGGCACGACACTGAGGGTTGTGATCCATTGCCGGACATGAAAAAAGACAAAAAGGGGGAAAAAAAAAAGAAAATAAATAAAAACCATAGTAAGAACTAAAAGTCCTTTTTAATTATGAAATATTAAAGATACCTATATATAGGTAAATATAAAAGCTTATATTGTGTTTTTTGATGGAATCCTCTTTTTAGTTTTATATTGGAATGTCTTAATTTCTTCTTTATTATGTAAAGGATAGGTTTGCCAGATACAGAATTCTTGGTTGACAGTTTTTTCTGTT